TTCTTTGGTGTAGGTGGAGTTTTGAAAGTTTATAAAGGTGCCTAGGTTGTATTTGAGGCACAAAAAGGTCTCAATTATATATCTTGCAGGGTCGTGCGGAATCTAGAAGAGTCAATCAACACATATTCAGTATGGTGGTGGACATTCAGTTTGATACAATAACTTTAGGAGCTCGTAAATAGTCGGAATTAAAGAATACTGCTCCATTGAGTTCAGAAAATATGGATAATACCACTTTACCACCATCACCTACAGTGCTATTGTATTCAATTGCTAGGGATGGATCAAATGGCAAAAAGTTATATGGATGTTGATTTTGTTGAGCATGCTTTAAGCGTAGCACAAGGTGTACAATCTAGCAATGAGCCTTCTTTAAAAAAATTTGAGTTTGATTCTACTTTGGGGTGTGTTACAACCTAATTTGGTGAATTTTAAAATCATTATGATTTTTGGGAATCTAAAATAATTCTATAAAAGTAGTGTTTCGATTCATTGGAAGAAGTGGAGTATTGTATTTTGTTGGAGAAATCAGTTTTGGTTATTATTGAAGAGTCAATTCATTCATTGCATACATATTTTTCTTCTCCAGGTGGAGAAAATTTTTGAGCTTTGTTCGTTGCAGTGGAATTCGTGTCAATATGGAGATTGTTAGAATTTAGGTGTGACCCGAATTCCTTATTGAAGTAATTGAAGAATTTTAATTGAAGTGCACGTTAAGAAGAATTCAATTTGGAATGCTATTAGAGTCTCATGTCAAGTTGAAGTTCTATTTTAGAATCCCATATGGAGTTGTAATTTATTTTGGATTCGATTTTTTGGTATCCTACTTCATCAACAACTCTATTATGAGAGTTTGGACATCCTCTATATGTTCCCTATAAATATTAAGCACTTCTATACGGTTTTATAATGCCAGAAAAAATAGATTAATAGGATCCATTGTAATTTTCTCTCTTATCCATTATTCTTGAGTCGATAAACTTTCTTAATTCTTCTATCACATTTTTTATCTTTGTTATTCTTTTATTTGATCTAATACTTTATTATTTACCATATAATTTCAACAATTCACTTTAGTGGTTGGTTTCATCAAGTGGTATTCAAACAATACACAATTCTTGTATTTCCAACATTGCTAACATCGATCTAGGCATAATTAACACAACAAATGGTATCGGATCGATAATGGTTTGCTTGTTTTGTAATAACTTGCTAGCGTGTCATGACATTATTTTTATTACAATCTGTACGTATGCCATGTTATCTATATTTTCATTTTGTTACGACATCATATCATTTGGCTCTTTGCATATTCGATCTTGAAGAAGTTTAATTTGATATTATTCATACTATTGTCATTAGTATTTGGAGGGCAAGCGCACCAACTTATTTTGTATATTTGTAGTGAAGATATATGCTATATTACAGGTTGGTTAGTCCATATTACAGAGGAGATGCTGTTAAAATTTTGATAAATTATATGCAGTATCTATCTTTTGAGGCAATTGTAAGTTCTCACTTATTTAGGCTCGCGCATATATTTTTCTGGGGCAGTTCGTAAGTCCTCATTTACTGGAACAATTTATAGAGGCAATTAGTAAGTCCTCGTCTAATTGGGATCGATGTATATTTTCTGAGTCAGTTCGTATGTCTTCACTTATTGGAACGAATTATATTTTGGAGACAATTCGTAAGTCAACACTTAGGAACTGTTCATATTTTTGAGACAATCTGTAAGACTTCGCCTATTTGGATTTGGACTTGTGCCCATTTCATTAGCACCCACTTGGCTCATCTCATTCTCCTATATATAATTAAGCTCACTTCACAAAAGTTATGTAATGATAACCCTAGTCAAATCCCCTCTCCCTCTCCCTCTCTTGCACTCTTTTTTTCCCTCGTTCGGTTGTTGGCTTGATCTTCGGAGCGCAAACGATCGTCGAACGATCGACAACATTTGTCTTCTAGCGGGATGTTCAGTGTGTAGGTGATGTCCATGTAGAGGGAACATGGTCAAGATTCTATTGACGCATTTTTTTAGGTCAACAAGTTCAAGCATTGACTAAATAAGAGAAATGTTAAAAGTTTTGATCGAGTTATAATAGATGGTAAGAAAGATAATTAAATAAAAACAAAAATAAGGAGCGAATTAGCCGAGTTGGCGATTATTTAAATGGTTTCCAAATTTTTTGATTTTATCTTTTAGTGCCAGTTACCAATTTTCTAGGAGTAACATGTCAAGTAGGCTCATGAGCCCTCATTCTTCTAAAAAAAAAAATTACAGAAATTATATGAAGAAAATAATTAAACAAGACATAAAAATCCTCCTTAAGGCATAAAATAAAAGTTATAAATATGGACCATGCTATGTGCACACACGGCCATACACCCCCCTCAAATGGAGGGGGCCCATGCACAATAAAATATTTGTGGGCTCCCCTTCATGTGAGAGGGGTGTAAGGCTAGCATTATTCTATAAAAATTGCACATAAAAAATCAAATACAACATACAAGCCCACACTTTACCAAGTTGAAAAACAAGCTCAGCTCAATCCTGAGTTCGTTCAAAGGCTAGGTCGAGTTGTCACGAGCCGATGAATGACCTAGTCTATTATCACCCTACGAGATTTTTTTTGGTGGAATCGACGAGTTCAATTCAAATTTGAAGAATTGTTCTTAACAAGCATGTCTTTATCTGTACATGTTCCATAATTGTTATTTGTACCCAATTTTATCTTTTTGGCACGTAAACATACTCTTTTCTTGCTAGGTGAGCATGAAAATAATTTAAGCACTTCAAAGTTAGTACATCACTATTGATTACCCTCATCGATATATGTATCAATATTTATGATATTAAATGATAGGTTTAATTAAGTCCCGATGGGGATCAAAATCAAATTTCTAATAGATTTTGATAGAATTGATGAAATATGTGGTTGAAAAGTTGTCGAACTCATAAAATATGCAGTTAAAATTAATTGTTGACTTTAACTTAAATCGGTACCAAACACATGCTAAATGTAAGGATACAAGACCAATTTTATTTGACCTATCTTTTAATGTCAGATACACCAGTGATGCATAGCTATATTACTCAGCTCTTATTTGATTTTGATTTTTTAAAGAAAAATTATGAATTTATGTGAAAAATTATTTTACTAGGAGAATGTGTTATTAAAAATAATTTAAAAAATCAAAATCAAACAAGAGCTTAATATTTGATACATATAGCTTAAAATAAAATAAAATAAACGTTAGGCAAAAGATTTATTAGCACGAAACATCCCTACGTTTCAAATTTTTACATTTTCACCCATATTTTTACTTTTCATTGTGGAAAATGTCATTTTCATCAATTTTTATTTAATTTCTCAATTAAAAATTATAAAATGACAAATATACCATCCTGTTTAAATATAAAAATAAAGAATAAGTTGCAATCATACTCCAAATTTTTTTCTTCAAAAAAGTACAAATAAATTAAATTAAAAAATAAAAGAAAAAAGAAAAATCATCTTCTTCTTACTCCCTTTCCCACCCTCCACCCTTACCCCTCACCCTCGCCATAATACGAAACCAGAAAATAGATCCCCCATCGACACTAATACCAGGAAAACCACCAGCCACCACCACCTCTGCCACCATTTTCTTCTCCAAAATTCCTCCCATTTTACTTCAGCAAACAAGAATAAAATGGTTTTGCCTAGTATTTCTAAATTCGATCTTAATTCCACCAAATATTTGATCATAAAACCCAACAATTCTTCTCACATGAAACAAACAAGAATTGATCAGTTACTATACCCTCCGTCTCCTTTGTTGTTTCAGTCTCCATGGTAACTTCATCAGCAGAACCACCCTTTTTGACTTCCATCAGATAAAAAACAATAGCATTCGAGTCCCTTCTGCCTAATTCGGGAACAATAACATCATTTATCTGCAACTGGTCGATTTCCCTAGAATCAAAGCCACTTGTATCATTGCCTTTCCAATCTCCATTGGTACCGTAACACTTGTTTCAAGATTCATTTTTATGTAACTTCATTCCTTGATTTTGATTTTTCCTCACCTCATTGCAATATTAGAATGGTCTATTACCTCATTTTCCATCATATCATTCACAAGGTTAGAATTTTCCATTACCACATCTATCGGATTTTATTTTTTTGGTACCTCACTCAAATTCTGTTATATATTTATACAATAAATATAATATGTGAAAGAAATAACTAATTAAGATGAAGTGCCCCACTGGTGAAAAGTGTGGAATTTATGTGGGAGGTCAGGTGTTCAAGCCACGCCTCACGCACTATATTAAAAAGTCTTTGATTGGGCCTTGGGGCTTTGAGCTTTATTGATTCTANAACTTAATACTAGATCATGGTAGAAGAAGTTACATCTCTTTCTGCCTATATAAACACACTTTTGGGTATTAGAAAAATACAAGAAAAACGAGATTATATATTTCTATACAGTATAGTAAAAATATTGTTCTTAGTTTTGCACATTTCTGGAGTACACTTGAGAGTTCTGAAAACCTTTTGTGATTGTTGCACAATTGGTTTATTTGATCGTAGTATCTTGGAGGTGATTGTCCACAGAGGTCGCAGTAGTTATCGATGGGCAATTTCGCTTTAGGATATCGTGCTGTAACGAGACTCGATCTGTTGATAAGTTTTTCTGCACTTTACTATTATTTTGTCCAACAAATTCAAGCCATTCTCCACTTTCTTCATTGATCCTTGGCTATCTGAACTCTTAATCAAAATCCTCTCTTAATTATTTTCTTCACCACCCTCACTGTCTTCTTCACGATCTTCCTCTTCCCATTTCCAAGCTTTGTCGTACCTCCAGTTACCCCATTATCAACCTATCTTTGGACTCAACCGATCAATTTTTCTACACGGGAGAGTTCCATACTGATACACGAGGTACAACCCGCCAAAAATGTTTTTCTTGTTTGTTGAAATAAAATGGGAGGAATTTTGGAGATGAAGATGGTGGCGGAGGTGGTGGCGACCGATGGCTTTCCTAGTATTAGTTCTGATGGGGATTCTATTTTCTGGTTTCGTTTTGTGTCGAGGGGTAGGGGATATGAGAGGGGGAAAGAAAAAATTGATTTTTATATTTCTTAATTTAATTTATTAGTGATTTATTTGTCCTTTTTTGAAAAAATTGGAAGTATGATTGTAATTTGTCTTTATTTTTCTTTTATTTAAATAGAAGGTTATATTTGTTATTTTATAATTTTTAATTGAGAAATTGGATAAGAATTGATGAAAATATCTTTTTGTTTTACAATGAAACATGAAAATAGAAAAGAAAATATAAAAATTTGAGACGTAAAGACATTTTGCACATGAAAGCCCATGGCCGCTTTGTGCTCATAAATCTTTGGCAAAAGCATGATTTCGTAGAATGCAATACAGGTGAGGTAAGGTAGTGGGTCCCGAGGAAAGGAAATATAAAAATAATTTGTAGAGAGAGAATTGTGTTAGCAGCATTATTATTGATAAAGCTTCTAGACAGAGAGCAAGAAAGAAAATAGTGCACTAGTGAGAGAAAAACAAGAGCGGTTTGATACAGTGAACTTTCCCGTTTTTCTGCGCAATCTCTATATTTATAGAGATAGTGTGGATCCTCTTTTGTGCTAATCGATGTTGTATATGTGTAAAAATTCAGAAATGGTTGAATCTGACTCCAACATTTTTCATGAGGCTGCTGTTCCGATATTCTTCTCTGACGGATTCTCAAATTTCTAGACCTAATACTGACCAGATCGTTTTTTTTCATCTTTCATTCTGGTAATTTATTGAAGTGAAAATTGACGGCATTTAGTTTATTTTTTTATGTTTTGATTGTTTTTGATTGGTTGATTGTTAAATTTTGGGAGAAAGAGTGGGGGAAAATGAACGGTGGTGATGGGGGAGAAGTAGCGGCAGCTCCGACTGGTCCACCGCAGCCGCTCGAGTGGAAATTCTCTCAGGTGTTTGGCGAGCGGACGGCCGGCGAAGAAGTACAAGAAGGTGAGAAATGACTGTAAATAAATACACGAATGGATGAAATTGTGTGCTTTTTGGATCTTGGAATTGAGGTTTGGTTTTTTATTTTTTTATTTTTTTTTATCTGCTTTTTGATTGTTAATTGGTAGAAATCAACTCGGTTTTTGTAGATTTAATGTAAATTAATTGGATCGAGGATGGCGATTTAAGCGAGTGATTTGCATGTCAATTTTGATTTAAGAATATGAGGGTTAATTAGTGTAGGTGCGGACCCAATTAAGTTAAATACAGTTTGGTTCCGGTTTTTCTCACTACATGCATTTGTTTTTGTGTTGAATTTTTATCCCATATTGTAGTTTTGGATCTCTGTAAGTGCCGTGTTGGGTATTTAAACTACTTTTTTCTTTCATGACCTGAAAACACCAGAGCTCCCATAACTTGAATTGCAAGTGTTGATTTTATTTTTGTGCAAAGTGATAGCTGGCTTTCTACACTCTGAATGTGAGAATAGGTAGGGGATGAATATATGATATGAGAATTTACTCCTCAGGATTTATTTGTACTGCCAGCATTTGTATTGGGCGTGGGCTAGAGGTTATTTGATTATTGAATTTCAGTTATGGTAATTATGTTCATGCAATAGATATCTGAAAAGTCCTCTTGTTATTTTTGGCTGAAGCTTTATGACAATTCCTTTTGTGATTTTGGGTTAAAGCTGTACTGCAATGTAGTGCATATAGTAAAATCATTTGCAGCTTCCGAAAGATTACAATGTTGTCTAGGTTGAAACCACCTAGGAGTTTCCAAATGTAGTCAGAACTGTGCAAAGGCTGAACTGTGGGAAGTTTCCAAATGATGTTTGTCCTTTTGGCATGCCCTGGCAGTGTTTGAACCATGTTTTATGTCTTTTTTATATTTGTTGTTAAAAAGACAAAAGAGTGACGATTAAGCTTATATCTGCTTCCAAGTTAAAGTGAAGGCTAGCTCCTTTTTCGAATTACTATATTTTTTTCAGGGGGTTTAGTAATGTACCGTACATCGACCATGTCGCCCAATTAGGTTTCATCCATAGACTTATTTGTGCATTGTACTCATTATTATCTTACCAATTAAGGAGAGTGGGCGAGCGTATGGATTATTGTAATCATGATGTATTGAGTAGTGGCTGGTCTAAAACCACGGATCCAGATAAATTGCAATATATATGGTTTTTGAGTTTGTTTGGATGGTATTTCACATGAGAGTTGGATTTTCAACATGTCAATTGTGTAACTTCAGTTATCTCTCTCATGCAAAAATAGGCTTGTGCAATGGGCGTTCAAAAGGGTACCTATGGTGAGAGCAGAGAAAACATAAATTTGTGAAGTGTATTAGGTTAACATATGTAGACAGACTTCATTATTTGGATGATTCAAACTTGATTTGGCTTTTCAAAAGATAAGTTTCTGAGCTTTAAAATTATAAATTCCTCACTCCAGTGTGTCTAAATCTCTTTGTGATTTAGTTCTGCGTGTGCAACTGCACCTTGCCATATATTGGCAACACGGCTGTAAGTACTAATCCACTGATTCCACAAGTACAAAATATTTTACCTTTACAAGAATACAGTTTTTCCCCAGTTGTTTGTCAACATGCTTTACTTCTTCCCTGTTCTTCTTCGTGAATCACCCGTACATGAAAAATAAAGAAGTCTATATATTAACTGAACAACAGACAGTTAGACACTAAACTAGATTCTTGTGATTGCCTATGAATGGCATTGATAGATACTACTTTTAGGAACATTTAATAAGTTTGATGAAGCCATTAACCCTTGTTGCGACACAATTCAAACGCATGCATTTGATGTGTTGTTGACTCTGTCATTGTATCTGTCATCAGTTTAGTATTAGTTAGAGCATGTTATTATTCTCGATTTTTGGAGGCTTATTTGACATGCCAAATAACTGTTGTTGCACAAATAGTTTTTTATTCGGTGAAAAGTATGGACTTAAATCAGCATTTGTCCATATTCTGTAACTTGCCTTCTAATTTCTAGTCCTGGAGAATATTGATATAGAGCACCTTGTATTTACTCTTGTGGCATATCTATGGATTTATTTGTTTCTCTGTTATTTTAGTACTGGTTCTCGTAGATAGACGAGTTCCCGAATTGTAAGAGGTCGAGTTTTAGAACATGGGCCTAAGATATTCTAACATGCTTTTTTTATTTTAACTTTCAGTTGATATAATCTCTGCAGTCGAGTTTGATAAAAGTGGTGACCACCTTGCTACCGGTGACCGTGGTGGAAGGGTGGTGTTATTTGAAAGAACTGATGTGAAAGAGGTGATGTTCAAAACTTCAAGTGCTGATTTATTTAAAATAGTCAAATATATTCTTACATTTTCCTTTTGCAACTTATTTTGCAGTGTGGTGGAAATAGAAAAGATTTGGAGAGGATGGACTATCCAGGCACTCGACATCCAGAGTTTCGTTACAAAACTGAATTTCAGAGCCATGAACCTGAGGTATTTATTTCCACTTTTGTTTGTTGCCTCTCTGTGTGTGCCCATGAGATTCAATGATTGGTCTTTGTAAATATGCTGCCCCTAGATATTAACAGTGGAGTTGTGAATGGTCATCTTGATGTCTCTACTCTTTTACTACCCCCCTACCCAACTTCCTTCAAAAAGGAAAAACAAAACAACAAAATGAATAAATAATTAAACAATTAAATTATAAAAAAAATCTTTAGACTTGTTAACATACATGCATTCACATATTCCTTTCAGTTTGATTATCTCAAGAGTCTGGAAATCGAGGAGAAAATCAATAAGATCCGGTGGTGCCAGACAGCTAATGGTGCCGCTTTTCTTTTGTCCACTAATGACAAAACCATTAAGTTTTGGAAGGTGAGATAACCAATTTCATTTTTATTTAATCATTGTACATGGCAGTAAAGAGAAAGTTGGATAACTTAAGCGTTCTAAGTTCATTGTTACAGCTGTAAAATGGAACGTACCTGGATCTTGTACTTAGCATGCAAAGGATTTGACGCCTTGATTTCTCAATGCACAGGATCTTGCTCTCTGGATTTTTCCTTTTTCTTTTCTTCCAATATTTTAATATGCACTATTTCACGGGCTTTGTTGTTCCCTTTTCTTCTATGAGTCCAGCAACCCGATCTTGTGTTTATAGTTTATGGTTTACATTTCTCTTTGTAAGGCAAATTGGTTTTATGCAAGTTAGTTGTGTGAAGCTTTGGTGTTTATTGTAATCTAAATCAGGGGAAAACTTGATTGGAGGTGTTTGTTAGTTCAAATATGTGTGAGCTGCTATTACTTGTGATTTTCTCAAATATGATTTTATATCACTTGATTTCTTTCCAGCATCCAGTTCTTGAGTGGAGAATTGGTTTTTGTGCCTTTGTTCGTCCCATGATTTTAATGCTTGGTATTTAATTAAACAGGTCAAAGAGAAGAAAGTAAAGAAAATTTGTGAAGCAAATGTAGATCCTTTGATAGGTGCTACAAATGGAAGTGTTGCCCGTTCAAGCATTTCTTCAAGTCCTAATCAGCATATTGCTAATGGGGGCTATCTGGACCAATCTCATAACTGTTCGAAAAATGACAGATCCTTTCCACCTGCAGGCATTCCCTCACTGCGATTACCAGTGGTAGTTTTACTTAAACTAAGCTATAGTTACACTTGCAGTATCAAGGTTTCCGTAGGATCCATTTATTTTTGGGTGTGTTCTACATCAATGGAATTAATGTGCACTCTCTCTCTCAGTTTGATTTATTCTGTGAAAGGAATCTGATCATGGCTGAATATTTAAATTAGTTATTTAGAACATGAAAATAATTTTTACTTAGTGTCAACTTGTACCCATTCTCAAATGCACTTAAACATTCGCTATGAATTTTCTCTACAAGTATATTTCTGTGAGTTTCATGTATATTTGAAATTGTGTACTTGAGTTGACTTTCTGTCAAAGGTTTAGAGCCTTGGAGCCTGGTTGATTACAAACCTTAGTGCCTGAATTTTGCATTCATAAGCCTGCAAGTTCACATGGACAATCACTAGGCAGTCCTATAACGGATAAGTTGTAGTTGTCATTGTCTAATGAATGCTCTGTTTTATTATCTCAATTTTCTTCCTAACACTGTGGTCATACAATCTGTAGGTTACAAGCAATGAAATCAGCCTTGTTGCAAGATGTAGGAGAACATATGCCCATGCGCACGACTACCATATCAATTCTATTTCAAATAACAGGCATGATATCCATATTTTATGTCAATAGTTAATTACTACCAATTTTTTATGTATTTTTAGTTTTTGTTTGGAACATTTTTCTAACTGTGAGTTTTGACTGCCTCATTATCACCTGATGTTAACACTGGCGATTCAATTCCTTCTGACTTTTAGGCCTCAAGCTACAGGAGGGAAAGCAAGGATATTTTTTCAATTTCATGAAAATTTATACGAACTTAAAGCTTATTTATCGGATCAATGATGGATGAATTATGAATACCTGGAGAGTGTAGTGAATGAAGAAAACAAAAGTTCATTTCCAAGTATTTTTCACTACTTGATGCGAGGACAATTGATACAGCATAAATGCATTGATTTGTGGTCATGCACATGATGCCTTTCTTTCTTCATCTGTTCATACATGCACCTTCCTTCGCCAGTTTCTTCCCTGGTTTTTTCCTTTCTTCTAGGACCTTATTTGACAGCTGAGCGTCTTTTGAGAAAGTCGAAGTTGATATCGCTGAGGAATATGAATCATTGGCTTAATCTGTTTCTTGGTGCATCCTTATGAAAAGTATATAAATAAACTTTTCTTTTTTGGTTTTCATGCAGTTGGTTTATCTCTGCAAACATTTTTGGGAACTGTAATTTGTTGATACATTATCAATAACATTTTTATAAACTCTTCCTGGGATCTGTAATTTGTTCTTTCTTTTGGTAATGTGAAACTCACCTATTAACATCCATCTTTAATGCTTTCCAGTGATGGAGAAACATTTATATCTGCTGATGATCTGCGAATAAATCTTTGGAACTTAGAAGTAAGCAATCAAAGTTTCAACATCATTGATGTGAAGCCAGCAAATATGGAGGATCTAACTGGTAAGTTCTTTTTTTTTGTGCAAGTTCCATATATCCAATTCAATTTGAAATTGGAATTTAAATTCCATTTTCAGTGCTTGACTATAATGGTTCTTTTCAAGTGACAAGCACAGTAGGAAATGGTGATGTAATCCACTAGGAAATGGTGACATGATTACGTCACAACTTCTGATTGTCATAGCTGTTGCTGTTCATGTGATCTATCATCACTGATGAAACAACAAAGTCACTATATATCCATGAAATTCATTATTTTATGAAATTTGAAAAAGCATTGCAAACATTTTGGCTGATTGTCATGTTGCAGAACCCCAACATTGACTTTCTTTTGATGACATCTTATTTCTTGTTGCAGAGGTGATAACATCAGCAGAGTTTCATCCTTCTCATTGTAACATGTTAGCATATAGTAGTTCAAAAGGATCAATTCGTCTCATTGATTTGCGCCAATCAGCCTTGTGTGATTCACATTCTAAACTGTAAGTGCTTTAGTTACTATTTTATTTTCTTTTCCTAATCAAATCACTTCTGTCGAGCTTGTTTTGTCTGCTTCACATTTAGACATTCAAATAACTGTCCCGAGTAGAAGGTTGGCACATTATGATCGTTCCATGTTGTTTCTCTGTTTTTGTTTAACTGCTTTTTTATTTTTATAAACGAAACATAGATATTCTTTTTATATACAGCTTTGAGGAACAGGAGGCACCTGGTTCAAGGTCATTTTTCACTGAAATAATAGCTTCAATTTCTGATATTAAGTTTGCAAGGGATGGAAGATATATACTGAGTCGTGATTACATGACCCTCAAGGTTCTATCTTCTGTTGTTATTTCCTCCCTTTGAGCTTTATATTCTTTTGATGCTGCAATTTGTAACAATGTTTATACTTTGTTTTTTGAATACATTTTGCTCAGTGGCAGCAGCATTGAGATGTTGAAAATAAGTGTGTGATTCTGGATGACTAATACAAAAATCAGAAAATTTGTCAAGAAAAATGATATTGAGTGATGGAAACTAGTTGCTTCCTGTTGGTGAAGCACTAAGTTCCATTTAGAAGTTGCAAACAAAGGAAGAGCTTGAAGTTTGGCATTTGAGATGGAAAAGAACCTAGTGTATTACCAATTTAAAGTTTTTTACTAATTGGCCTCAGAATGGCTTCTATTTTCAAAACCAGAGCTAAAGATGAATACTTAGTGCACAATCCCGTGGAGCTAGTATATATTATAATTTGAATTTGAATTTTATATATGGTGTAGATCTTGGTCTGTTACTGATCCATCTTATTTGGTGTCAGTTGTGGGATATCAATATGGATTCTGGTCCTGTGTCTACCTTCCAGGTTCACGAGTATTTAAGACCAAAGGTGAATTATCTCATTCCAGGAAAGTTCTGACAAAGCACTTTCTGCTAATGTTGTTTTTTCTTGAACTGATTAGATTGTTAACTTGATGAGTCCAGCTGTGTGATTTGTATGAAAGTGATTCCATTTTTGATAAATTTGAATGTTGCCTGAGTGGTGATGGTCTTCGAGTAGCAACTGGTTCTTACAGGTATGCTTAAGGTCTCCTGAGTTTTATCACCATTACTGATGTTTCTCTGTTTTTTCGAACTAATTAAAGACTTAAATATGATTTCAGCAATCTCTTCCGCGTATTTGGATGTGCAGCAAGCAGTACTGAAGCAACTACTCTGGAAGCTAGCAAAAACCCAATGAGGTACTGCAACCCAATTAGTTTTGACATGTTGGTCTAATGTTGATTTGTTGCATTATTGGTTGTTATGGGTAAAAAGTGGACACTTTGATTGTCCTTTCAGAAGACAAGTTCAGACCCCTTCAAGGACAACAACTTCAAGATCCCTGAGCAGTAGTATTTCTCGTGTTGTCAAGCGAGGTATTATTTTTGCCCCATTCCACCTTTTTCCTTCATAGTACACATTCTAGCACAATTCCTTTCCTACATGTTTGGTAGAGAGGATTGATAGGACTGCATAGTTTGAAGAACTTAGAATCTTTTTTCATAAAGTGTCTAGTCTTGTCCAGTCCAATACTGTATATCAAATATGTGCTTTCAGGTTTTTACTTTTTCTCAATTCTAAGAGTGTTCTCTTGCAGGTTCTGAAAGCCCAGGAGTTGATGCCAATGGGAATTCATTTGATTTCACTACCAAGCTACTCCACCTGGCATGGCACCCAACTGAAAACTCAATTGCCTGTGCTGCTGCAAATAGCTTGTACATGTATTATGCATAAGTGATCTATCCTTAGCAAACCAAGGCTCTACTATCTCACATCCGTGTGCCTAAGTAGAAATGGCGCTCATGGTACTTGCAACAGAGCTACTTGTCCTTTTAGCCTATAGATGGCTCGCTTCCTTCCTTCCCTTCTTTGCTATCTCCGCTTCACCCTAAATTTCTTTTATTTTTTACAACTCCCCTCAGAAGGGAAGCTGTGGTTCTGTTCTTATCTAATTAGGTTTGAGTCGGGAAAGAATGTGATTGTAGCTCTCTTACAAACAAAAGCTATAGGATGTCCTATATTATCCTAGTTTTAAGGTAAATGTAGTTTTACTTGAAATCTCCCCCCCGAAGGAGCTGCTGATAAACTTGCAGGGCATTGAGTTTTATTCAGTTTTTCTTTGGCAGGGTAAAACTTTTCTCATAGTAAAATGCCTGCTTTTATTATAGAATTTCGGTAAAGGACTTAAAGTTCCGACCACGACATAGATTTTGGATGCTATTTACCATATTTCAATATTCATCTCTGAGTGAGCAGCCCTGTGTCGTGTTTGTTGTGCAATGTCATAATTCAACACCGTAGTCGTTAATGACCATATTGAGAATCTGTTCAATACAGATCAAAGACTTGCAACATTGAAAGGTTGAGGGTGCAAGTTTGGTTGAAATTCATTTTCATAACTTAATTATTCCATGCTTGATGTTGGCCGATCAACAATACTCTTCAGTTCTGCCTCTCCGACACCCTCGTGCACGAACACACTATAGTATATAGAAAATCTCCTCCTTTTTACCTTTTATTCTCGTTAAAACCATTACAAATATTTGGTGCAAGAAAAACTTGAACAACCAAATTATTGAAGTTCAAATACTTTGAGCAAATACAAATTCAAGGTTCAATATGATAGAATTTATTGACCTTTATTTTTCACAAATATGCTGCACATATATACCTTTCTATAGCGTTCAAGACGAAATCATATAAAAAATTGAAACTTACCTAGAATACAATCTCTACCTGCATTAGGCTCAGTTAGCGTTGAGATTCGAGTATTTTTTCTTAGTAGAATCCTCAACTCGATGCTAGTCGAGACAACTATAGTGGGAGTTGAAATGGACAAAATTTGTTGAAAAAATGGGTAAAAAACACGCTTCCATATAGAAATTGCTTCTTCCTCCGCTATCGAAGCCCTACCTTCAATTATTTAAAAAATCCATTCTAATGACTTTAGTGTGGGAGATATTACACCGATATGTTGAGATTCGAGTATTTTTTCTTAGTAGAATCCTCAACTCGATGCTAGTCGAGACAACTATAGTGGGAGTTGAAATGGACAAAATTTGTTGAAAAAATGGGTAAAAAACACGCTTCCATATGGAAATTGCTTCTTCCTCCGCTATCGAAGCCCTACCTTCAATTATTAAAAAAATCCATTCTAACGACTTTAGTTTACTTTTGCGTGCATAAACACTTCCCAGCACCAAATAGTCTCAATACGCATGCAAACATTTCTCTCTCTAACTCTCCACTGCAATTTCTCGTAACAGTCAAGAATCAGAAGTTCACGCCGCCATTGCAGAGAATCTCAGCTCTCTTTTCCTCTCTGTCTTTATATCCTCCATCGAGCTATCAAAGTATGACTTTAAGGGGCAAAATGCAAAGTGCAACACAGTGCCTTTTTTTTTTTTTGCTATTTTGACTGCCATCCTAAATGATCCGAGTCTTGTCATGGCTCGGAGATCAGTTGAAAACATGAATGTGATTGATAAATGTTGGAGAACCAATCCCAATTGGCGGAGACACCGGCAGCAGCTAGCGACAGGCTCGGTTGGGTATGTTGGAAAACTAATTGAAAACATAGGCCAAAACGTGACGAAGTACACAGTCACGAATCCTAGTGACGACCCATTGGACCCGAAACCCGGAACTCTAAGATATTCCATGACTAGCATTAAGGGAAAGGTTTGGGTCACATTCAAAAGGGACATGAATATTAAACTTGAGAATCCCCTTCTAGTTAGCAGCCTCTCTACCATCGATGGAAGAGGTGTTAATGTTCACATTGCAAATGGCGGTTGCCTAGTTCTTCAAAGGGTACGTAACATTTTCATAGCATGTTCCTCATGATTTTGAGATCGAATTGTTAGAATAATTATATTATGTGGGCTTCCATTTGATTGCGAATTTTACGGGTTAGATGTATGGTTTGCAATAATACTGTGATATTTATGCCCAATATGTTAGTGATCACTCGAACCGTTGTACACCTTACGTGCTATATTATTTGGGGAAGAATTCATGGATCATGTTTTAACTCTTATCAAATCAATTTTTAGGTATTAAGTTTCAAAATTGCAAAAATCAGGTATTTATTTATTAATTAAATATTTAATTGTAATATAATATAATTAACTCACTCCACCTCCACCTCCACCTCTATCACCCCTACCGCTCCGGGGACTATTCCGACGACAGTTTCGGTGGCCGCTCTACTCCGACGACTATTTCGGCTGCTGTCCGGACGCCGCTTAATTCCAGCCACTATTACGGTGATGTTCCGCCGTCGCTTAATTCAGGTGACTGCTCTGATTCCGTCAATTGTTAAGGTCACAATTATATGCAATTTGGTCACAGTTATCTAATTAATTAGTTAAAAATTAATTTTAGATCACAACTTATCAAATTATTGGTCACAAATTTTTTTCTCGATCATAAATAAATTTTTTTATAAGTCACAGACTATTTCTCGATCACGAATCAAAATTTTATAGGGTCACATATTATTCATTAGTCACGAATCGAAAATTTTATTGGTCGCAACTCATTTATTCATTACAAATTCTTGATCACAACTTATCAAATTATTGGTCATAACTTATTTTCTGGTCACAAATCAATAATTTTATAGTCACATGTTATTCTCGACCACGAATTAAATTTTTTATAGGTCACCGATTTAAAAATCAAAACTTTTATTGGTCACAACTCGATTACAACTAAATAAATTGTGAGTCACAGTCACAATTTTCAGGTCACATATGTTTTATTGGTAAAAAATTTACCAATTATTGGTCATAGTCAACTAAATAATTGGAATCTATTACCTTGAAGAAGAACAAGGGTGGGTTGCAAAATTTTAAGAAACAAGCAGATAAATATTCTTAGCAAATGTACCTTAGCAACAATGGCACTTCTGATTAGAGAAGAAACTGGGATTGGGAAATAAGATGAAGGAGACAGCTTCAGACCATAAAATTGAGATGGAGGAGATTTAGAAAGGGGTGGAAAATTTTGGCATAATGCGAGTTTTGTGGTTTGAGCATACAGTGGAAAGGAAGAGAATGATTGGTAGAAAGAGAAAAAAAAAGCCATTTTTGGAAAGAAAACGAATACTGATTCTCTAATTCTTTCAATAGAGAATCAGTCTATACAGATTTCCTTATAATTTTGTTTCAGAAATATAATGGGGAAGAGCATACAGGTGGGTATGGGTGTGGGGAGGCAATCTTTTTGGGAACGAAGGGCATAACTCTTTTCGTCAATCACCACCACTAAAAAAGGGAAGAATGATGGATCTGCACCGTGCGGCGATGAGCCAAGCGGATTTGCATCGCCGGCAGAGATGGGAGGCGTCGCGGGTAAAGGTTGGTAGAGGGAGAAAAGAGAAAAGGCGGAGAAGACGGGAGAGAGAGAGAAGACGGAGAGATGGGGAGAGAAAGAAAAAGGAAATGATTTCTAGGGTTTGTGATGAAAATTGTATAATTAATATTTAATTAAAACGATAAAAACCTGAAAATTGAATAAATAAAGTTCAAACCTGATTTTTAAAAATGGATTTTTAATCACATGTTTTTATGTAATTTCCACTTATTATAATATGGTAATTTTATGTATGTGGGTCGAAATTATGTAAATCCTAATTAGGATTAGAGTCAGTAATGAGCCGACTTTATAATTTTCTATATAATGGTTATTGCTAGAATTTGAGTGTGACTCGAATTCCTTGTTGAAATAATTGAAGAATTTTAACTGAAGTGCACATTAAGAAGAATTCAGTTTGGAATGCTATTAGAGTCATATGTCAAGTTGAAGTTTTATTTTGGAAGCCTATTGGGAGTTGTAATTTGTTTTGGACTCAATTTTTTGGTATCCTACTTCATCAACAACTCTACTATGAGGGTTTGGACATCTCCTACATGTTCCCTATAAATATTAGGCTCTTCTATACACTTTTATAGAGTGAGAAAATAGATTATTAGAATTATATGATCTATTGTAATTTTTCTATCTTCTCCATTATTTTTGAGTTGATAAAATCTCTTAATTCTACTACCATATTCTTGTTTTTATTATTCTTTTGTTTGATCATTTCTTGAGTCGATAAAACCTCTTAATTCTATTACCATATTCTTGTCTTTATTATTCTTTTGTTTGATCATATTTTTCATTATTATTTACCATATAATTTCAACATCTCAATTCGGTGGTTTGTTTCACAACAATTGGTATCAGAGCAATTCTGGTATCTTGATTGTTTTACAACAAGTGATATCAGAGCGTCAGGTTCAGCAATTCCGCAAGAGTGCAATGTTTGATTTGTTCGAGGTTTTTTATTCGTGATGGCTTTCATGAAGTATGACATTCCGCTTTTTGATCAGAGTATTAGATTTTTGCTATGGCAGGTTAAGATGCGTACAATACTCGCACAGCTGGATTTGGATGATGCATTGCTCATAATTAACAAGATGCCTGCAACTTTGACCGCGGAGGAGAAATTACGGAAGGATAAGAAGACATTTTCTCACATTCATTTTCATATATCAAATACTATTCTTCGGGACGTTTTGAAAGAGAATTCAGCAGCTGCTTTATGGTTGAGGTTGGGGGCAATTGTGCATGACTAAAAGTCTGACAAGCAAGTTGAATCTCAAGCAACGTTTATACTCTCATCAATTAGCAAAAGGATGATCATTGGAAGATCAACTAACTGTAAACTTTGGAAGTAGAATATGATGAAAAAGATTTGGCATTGATCCTGTTGTGTTCGTTACCCGCTTCGATTTCTTCTTTTAGAGACACGATCTTGTATAGTCATGATACTCTCACCATAGAGGAGATGTATGATACTTTGTATTCAAAAGAGAAGATAAATCATCTGGTTTTAAGGCCAAAGATGGAGAAGGCCTGGTTGTTTATGGCAGTACTGGAAGGGACATATCGAAATATAAATTCAGCAATCAAATTTGTAATTATTGCAAGAAGAATTGGCACTTGAAAAAGGATTGCTACAAATTGCAAAATAAAGAAATAATGGCTGCAAGTAAATATTTAGATATTTCAGGCGAAGCAGACATTGCGGAGAACGTTGTAAGTAATGGAGATTTCTTAACTATTTTTTACATTGAGTCTAAATCCAAAGATGACTGGATTCTTGATTCAGCATGTGTGTTTCATATGTGTCCTAATAAGGATTTGTTTGCTACATTAGAAACTGTTTCCAAAGGTGTCGTGGTTATGGGAAATAATAGAGAGCTCTTAGCTATTTCTAACATTGAGTTTAAATTGGAAGATGATTGGATTCTTGATTCAGCATGTGTGTTTCATATGTGTCCTAATAAGGACTTGTTTGCTACATATGAAACTGTTTCCAAAGGTGTCGTGGTTATGGGAAATAATGCATCTTGTCGGGTTGTTGGAATTGGTACAGTCAGATTGAAACTTTTGGATGGGACAATTAGAACACTTGGCCAGGTTCGACATGTTCCAGATTTGAAGAAAAAATCTCATCTCATTGTCTATTCTTAATTCAAAAGGTTATGAGTTCTTTGGTGGAGGTGGAGTTTTGAAGGTTTATAAAGGTGCCCAAGTTGCATTGGAGGGACTGAAAATATCTCAGTTATAATCTTGCAAGATCATGCAGAATTTAGAAGAGTTAATTAGTACAAGTTCAGGACCGTGGTGGACATTCAATTTGGTACAATACCTTTAGGAGCTTATAAATGATCGAATTTGAAAAATATAGTTCAGTGAGTTCAGGAGATATAGATAATGTCGCTTTGCCACCATCACCTGCGGTGCCATTGTATTCAATTGCTAAGGATGGATCCAATCGAAAATGGTATGTGGATGCTGATTTTGTTGAGCATACTTTAAGTAGAGTAGAAGATGTACAATCTAGCAAGAGGCATTCTTTAAAAGCATATAAGGTTGATTCTGTTCTGGGGTGTATTATAGCCCATTTTGATTAATTTAATATCATTATGATTTTTTGGGAATCTCAAATAATTCTGTAGAGTAGTGCGGGATTCATTGGAAGATGTGGAATATTGTGTTTTGCTGGAGAAATTAATTTTTTGGTTATTGTTAAAGAATCCAGTTCATTCTTTGGTGGAATTCGTATCAATGTGGAGATGTTAGAATTTGGGTATGACTCGAATTCCTTGTTGAAGTAATTGAAGAATTCTGATTGAAGTGCACATCAAGAAGAATTCAGTTTGAAATACTATTTGAGTCCTATGTCAAGTTGAAGTTTTATTTTGAAAGCCTATTGAGTGTTGTAATTTGTTTTGGACTCAATTTTTTAGTATCATACTTCATCAACAACTCTGATGGGAGGGTTTGGACATCTCCAGCATGTTTCCTATAAATGTTAGGATCTTTTATACAATTTTATGGAATGAAAAAATAGATTATTAGAATTATAGGATCTATTGTAATTTTTCCCTCTTTTCCATTATTCTTGAATCGATAAAATCTCTTAATTCCTCTGCCATATTTTTATCTTTATTATTGTTTTGATTGATCATATACTTAATTATTATTTGTCATCTGACTTCAACATCTCAATCCAGTTGTTTGTTTCACAATAATGCTATCAGAGCAATTCTATTATCTTGGTTGTTTTACAACAGTTATGTTATCTCTCCTCACCATATCGTTTATTGGCTTGCCCCATTGACAGCTAATTACTTTTTAGGAGCAAGGAGAGAAATATCTAACTGATAATATTTATAAACAAAAATATCTTCCGCATATATGAATTTCAATCTATTAATTCAGAATATGTGATTCTTGCTCTTAGCACGATTATTGAATAATTTCAACACGAATCACACGTTCGTTATGCA